AATATATATAAAATAAATATACATAAAAATAAATATATATAAAAGTAAAATATATATAAAAAATCAAACAAAAGCCCTTTGCCATATATATATGAATATATATAAGGAACTATATATAGCGAGAATATAAAGAGCTCTTACAACTCAACAATAATAATAATAATAAAGTACCTGCCCTTTTCTCTCCATGGGTAGAAGTTTTGAACCGACACTTCACAAAAGATATAATGATGGCAAATAAATATCAGAAAAGATACACTACCTAATTTGTCATCAGAGAAATGCAAACTTAAACCATAATAAGCTACCAATGTACTTATTAAAGTGGCTGGAATTAAAAAGACTGACAATATCAAGTATCAGTGAGGATGTGAGCAACTGGAGTTATTGCGCATTGCTGGTGAAAGCATGAAATACTATCATCTCTCTGAAGGGGTCTTTGACAATTTCTTATAAAGGTCAACACTCACATATCATCAATCAGCCATCCTATTCCTAGATATTTATCCAAGAGAAATTAAAACGTGTGTCCACAAAAAGACTTGTACACAAATGTTCAGAGCGGCTTTATTCATTATAGCCCCCAAATGGAACAACAGTCCAACTGCCTGTTAACAAGTGAATGGATAAAGAAATGGTAATATACCCGTGCAATGGTAAATATTACGATAAAAAAGAATAAACTATTGATATTCTCGACAACATGAAAGAATCTCAACATACGTTGAGGAGAGGAATTCAGACACAAAATACGTATACCAGTATTCCATTTACATAAAAGTCTAGAACAGGAAACAATAATTTATAATGACATTCCAAATTAATGGAAAGCAGACTAGTGGTTGCCTGGGACTGGGGCTGGGACAGGTGGACTTTAAACGGTTAGAAAGGAACTTTCTAGTGTCATGGACATGTTTTATATCGTGATAGTAATGGTGGTTGCATGAATGTGTAAATTTGCTAAAACTCACCAAACTGTACCATGTACTTAACAGGGGTACATTTTATTGCATGCATATTTTTCCCCAATAAAGTTGATTTTCAAAAAGTAGGGCAAATGACCATCTTTTGGGTATCCAGTAATAATAATAATGATATTAATAGCTAATATTTATTGCATGCTTTCATTGTCCCACATGTTGTACCATGTTCTTTGATTATCTGTGTTAATTTAATTCTAGAGCTATCTTTTGAAGTAGTAGTAGTGTTATCTCCATATTACAGATGGAAAACCCAAGACTTAGAGAGATTTAATGATTTTCTCAAGGGCATGCACTAGTTCTTTGCAGAGGTGGGGTTTTAAACCAGATCTTTCAGATCCTCAAACTTCCAGGGTAAGAATTAGGTATTACAAGGCAGGAATCCTCTTCTCTTTGCTCTGCCACTGACTTGTTAGAGCCTTTGGGCAACTCACTCTCCGATCTCAGCTTCCTTATGTGCAAAATGAAATGATGGGCATTTAGTTACTGTTCAAGCTTTCGTAAATGTTTAATTTACAAATCTGATAATAACCGTACCATTTCCACAGCCTCATTGGCAAAGAAGTGAACTGTGTTAGTCAGATTTACTGTAGCATCAAATAACCCCCAATATCAGTGGCCTCTCACTACTAGATTTATTTCTTGCTTATGGATCTGCTGGTCAGGTGTGGTCAGTGGACTGGGTCTTGTCTGCACTTCAGGTTCAGAAGTACTCTACGTGGCTCTCACTCCTGGACCCAGGCTGAAGCAGCAGCAGACACTTGGACATCCACTTCTCACGGAGAATACAGGAGTGGGAGAGATAGATTAGAAATGCACAAAGCTTGAAACTGACCTCCTATCATTTCCCACCTGCAGCCCACTGGCCAAAGCAAGTCACATGGCCAAGCCCAGTCATGGAGGCTGCGAATTATGCCCTGTCCATGGTGTTGGAGCAAGGAGAGTGAATATCTCTTGACCAATAATGCAATCTCCCAATGAATGCAACCTCAAAGACTTAAGAAGAGTCAAAGAGTCTTCTTTTTCACTTACTCAGAGTCTTATTCACGAATCTCCAGTTTCCTTACCTTCTCATCCCCTCCCTGGGCTCACTGGCTGTTAAGTGTAGACTTAATGCCTCTTTTAGACTCAGAAGTCAAACTGCAGGTCCTTTGAGGGCTTAAGATATTGGTTTTCAGCATTACTGATCATTCATGCAATTTACTGAGTTAAATATCATTTTTAATAACATTGATCTGTAGTATTAGTAATCTTTTGTGATCTTGATGGAATTAGGAAAACATTTACAAGTGGGGATTTATTTTCTGATGAATGGGGGTAGGTCCTATGATATATCTTGCTCCCATACCAACTGTAATATTCTCTCTGACCTCATTGGTTCATGAATGTCAAACAGGCAAAATGAGGAGGCGTGCACTGAATAAACTACCCCTCATTACTGACCCTTCAGCTTTCTTCTTTTAGGAGGAATTCACAGGCTGGAGGTGACTGATTCCTGCCTTGCAAGCCAGTTATATTGTCTATTGTATTAGTTGAGTCAGGCTTCAGCCATTGTAGCCTGAAGGCACCCATAGAAAATATGTAACTGAACAAATGTGGCTGTGTTCCAATAACAATTTGCTTACAAAAACAGGTGGTTGGCCAGATGTGGCCCATGGGCTGTAGTTTACAGATCTCTGCTCTAAATGGCAGCTCCTCGATAAAAACTGATATTGTTCTGATCGAGACTGATGTTACAACAGAGGGTGATGGGTTTCCAACAAATTCCTCTTTTCTGGAAACTTGATGGTATGCTTTTCTTGGAAAAGCAAGTCTTTCATTTCGTCATTCAACCCCTTACTGTGTGTGTGTGTGTATTTTAAAATGTTTAAACAATTATTTTCCAGCTGTACTGAGATAAAGTTGAGATATAACATTGCATAATTTTAAGGTATAATGGTTTGATATATGTGTACATTACAAAATGATTACCACAATAAGTAAGTTAATACATTTTTTGAACAAAGAGTCGTTGGGTAGGGTAACTCTTAAAGAATAAGGATGCTTTTCATGAGTGGAATGAAGGAGAGAGAAGAAGTTATCTCCCATTATGTAGCATCATCCTCACTGTCACTGACTGGAAAATCTGTGAACTGAGATGTAATATGGTATGCCTACATTTTCACAGAAAAATCACTAGAGCTAGAACTGGAGCCCAGATAGCTTTTCTTTTCTTCAAAGTTTTCTCTACTCACCCATGGTTTCTCAAATACAAATTATCATTGGAGAACCAGATCAAGATTTTTGACTCAGTTGGATACCATCTGTATTACTGTTCATTTTATATTTTTTTAGAGTAACTTTTTAAAAACCTAAATAGAAATATGACAGAAGAAAAGTCGCTCTTTCTACATTAAGTGGAAAACAGGTATCAATACTTATCAATAATTATTTAAAATACACTTCTAAACTTTACAGCAGAACAATAACATTCATCTAGTAACATTCACAAAGGAGCATCTCCTGAGTGTGGTCACACTTGAGGAAGCTGAGCAGGACGTTCTGCAGACCTCACCTGTCAGAGGCAGGCTTTGCATAGATGCTGCGGGTTCCATGATTCACCATGCTCCATCTCAGGTTAACTTAACAAAATTACGGTCTCCAAAAAGCAAATGTAAATCACATACAAATGAACCAAGCCTTGACCCTTACAAAAAACCAACAAAATGACCAACAAAAAAACAACCCTTATGAAACTTCTGCCCTCATTTTCTTCTCTCAATAAACATAAATGGCACAAAAAGCAGCCTTGGGGAAAGAAAAGGATCAATGAATCTTTTATTCCCATCTCTGGCATCTGCAGCATTTTTTGATCACCTGCAAGACTGAAAGCCCCTATAGTGAGTGACAAGACCTTGCCCTTGGGGATCATATTTGAGGCTGAATTTGGGGTTATAAACCAACTGGACTCATGATGATTTGCATAGAACGATCTTCACTAAGCAGTGGGTGACCAGCTTGCTGCCAAACCTCACCCAGTTATAAGGGCAACTCTGCAGGTGGACAGCCTTTTTAAGAATATTTTTCTTTTATTGAAGTATAGTTGCTATACAGTATTATATGTTACAGGTGTACAATACAGTGATTCACAATTTTGAAAGGTTATACACCATTTATAGTCACTATAAAATATTGACTATATTCTCCGTGTTGTAGCTTATTTTATACATAATAGTTTGTACCTCTTAATTCCCTACCCCTATCTTGCCCCTCGCCCCTTCCCTCTCCCCACTGGTAACCACTAGTTTCTTCTCTATATCTGTGAGTCTGCTTCTTTTTTCTTATATTCACTAGTTTGTTGTATTATTTAGCTTCCACGTATAAGTGATATCATACAGCATTTGTCTTTCTCTGATTTATTTCACTTAGCATAATACTCCAAGTCCATCCAAGTTGCAAATGGCAAATTTTCATTCTTTTTATGGTTGAATAGCATTCCACTGTATATATACACTACATCTTTATCCGTTCTTCTGTTGATGGACGCTTCGATTGCTTCCGTATCTTGGCAATTGTAAATAATGCTGCTATGAATATTGGGGTGCATGTATCTTTTCAATTAGTGTTTTTGTTTTTTTCAGATACATACCCAGGAGTGGAATTGCTGGGTTGTTCTATTTTCAGTTTTTTGAGAAACCTCCATAATGTTTTCCACAGTGGATGCACCAATTTACATTCCCATCAACAGTGCACAAGGGTTCCCTTTTCTCCACTTCCTCGCCAACAATGTGTTATTTGTGTTCTTTTTGATGATAGCCATTCTGACAGGTGTGAGGCGATATCGCGTTGTGGTTTTGATTTGCATTTCTCTGATGATTAGCGATGTTGATCATCTTTTTTGTGTACCTGTAGTGGACAGATTTTTTAAATTCTCATTTCACAGATGAGGGTCAAAGAACTTGAGCTATTTTCCACGGGTCACATATTTAGAAAGAAGAGGGAACAGATGAAATGGTGAGAATGCTGGGGTGAGGGGCATGGTTTTGTTTTGGGGGTGGCAGGTGGAGAGGATCTGAGAGGCAGCCTGGAGGTAGTGGCTAAAACCCAGCCTACTCTTGTGTCTGTCATTGAAAATTGGGAGGGCGTGTTTCTCAGTTGATGCTGATTTATGTGTAACTAATAGAGTGACGGGGAAAAAAAAGGAAGCCCGGTTTCTAATTTTATCTTCGTGGCACTTTACTAAAAAGCCCCTCAAGGTGGCCGGAAGTTGGAAGCCCTCAAGGCTTGAAGCCCTGGACCAGCATGCAAAGGTGCTGGGCACGGAGTGAGGGCCCCCGGAGATGAGACACCGCACAGCTTCCCATCTGGGTATCTGGCTCTCAGTAGCTATTAGGGTGTCTTCTCTCTGACTCCTCATTTGCATAATGTCATACCCATATGGTGTTATTTTATTTACCTCTTGAAGGGGGATGACTACTTTAGAAAGAGAGGAAGCCAGAAGACTTGACCTGAAGGCTTCCTCTGTCCCTCTCGCCCTGCTACCCTCAATCGTTTACTCTCGTCTTTGCCTCTCTTTCTCTGGCCATCTTGACTTTTGTAAATGAGGACCTTGCTTGAGTGATAGGATCCATTTCTTCCAGTGAATGGTTGCCAGGGGCGCTTGTCTTGTTGAAGGGTTTATCCTGGCAACATTTACAGCCGGTGGTGAATTTAAGCGCGACCTACTCCCATTTCTTCACGATGGAGGAACCTTTGAAAGTTTAAGAAGTCTACCGTGGCTGATTCTGCTCAGATAGATCAAGGGCTTGACTTACGTTCTGCTTTGCTATTTTTCTGGGATTTCTGAAAACAGACTTCTTCAATTTTGCCATGTTAGGTGTGAATTTTGCAGTTTACACATAGTTCCTTAGAGCTCTTCAAGACAGAGTTTGCATCCTGTGTTGGGGGTAAGAGAGCAAATGTTTCAACCTTCCTTTGTTCTTGAAATAATTCTGGGTGATTCACTTGTTCATTTATTTGTTCTTGGCTTGCTAGCCTATGGTGGTCAAATGCCTGAGAAGTATTAAAAAACAACCCCAAAATAAAACAAATAAAAAAGACCTTTAGAGATACAGCTAAAGGAGGATTCATTGCTCTTTTAAATACTTTAATTCCGTGTTTATCTATTAAACAAGCACTTATCTTAGGTGCATGACTTGCCGGGCACTGAGCTAGATGCCCAGAATCCAGAGTTGGAGATCTGTTGTCTGCTTTGAATCTGATCAGGGTTAGATAATTTCAAAATTTAGAGTATACAGCTACACAAGAGCTACAGAAAAGGGCCCAGGGAAGACAGAGCTTTTGGAAATTTGTGAATTCCACACATACTTCATGCAAGATTTCATTTGCATGTGTATTTTTCTGGGAAGGGGGTTAATAACTTTCATGGGATTAAAGTATTCATGAACAAAAATGTTTTAGAAACATGGCCTCTGCAATTGCAGCAAAAATTTTAGATGACCTACCCCTGGTGTTCTATAAACAAGATCTCTCCTTGCTCAGTCCTGGTGGGTTATCTGCATTTGGGACTTGGTCTACTGGCCTTTAAGTCTATCTTCTGAGAGTAGACTTCAGAAGATACTGACTCAATGTCTTTGTCATATCTGTCCTCCAGTGCAGGACCTTGTATCCATGACATTTTTACATTTTCTATTGTGCTTAGCTCATGTCTTATAGCAAATAGGAGAAATAAAAACTGCATTGATAACTGCATTGATCAATTATGTTCCAAGCTTGTCATCGAATTCTCTCTTTCGACACTTGCATGTCCCTGATTCTGCTCCATCTCTGGCCTCTGTGAAATATCCTGCCTCTCCCAAGGCAGAGTGAGAATAAAGAACATTCCTCAATTGGAGTGTGTGCACACACATGCTTACTTGCACCCCTAAGGCTTTGTTCTTTGACTATCATGTGGAGAGAGGTGTTTGGGCACCATATTAATAATAGCTCTTAGTGTGTATGTGGCACATTCCATTTTCAGAGGCATTTATAAACATTGAAAGATGAAAGCGTGCACCACCCATCCTGGGAAAAAGGGAATGTTAATCACCACCACGTCTGTTCTTTGGAGAGGGTCACAGAATCTGAGAGCTGGAAGGGATGTCAGAGGTCACGTTTCAACCTCTGGTCCCTAGAGGAATTCTTTCCTTTGGAGCCCACCAAAGTTGGGGTAGTCCTCAGAATTTCTTCTTGAGTTCAAGCCAGTTCTGCCCTTCTGCAACTTTTCAATTATCTATCTACCTGTTTATCTATCATCTATCTGTCTATCATCTATCTATCTCTATCTTTCAACCGATCATCTATTCCCTATCTCACTTCCTCCCTTTTCTTTTTTTCTCCCTCTCTCTCTTTCTCTCCCTTCCTCCCTTCCTCTCTCTCTCCTTCTTTCTTTCTTATTTCCTTCCTTCCTTCCTCCATTCCTTCCTTCCTCCCCTCCTTTCTCCCTTCCCTCCTTCCTCTTCCTTCCTTTCTTTGTGCAGAGCCCTGCCAAGATTGCAAATGCTTGAACAAAATTATGCTCTTTTAAGACATAAATTTGGGGTGCTTGGTTATGTATCAAAAGATAACTGTAATGCCTGGGCAGACTGGGATATAAGATCACCCTACTTGCAGTGACATTTCGGGCAGTATAGTGTCTTGCTACCCTCATGTTGGACCCAGACTTGATTCTGCTTCCCTTGTTGCAGTTCTCTGATATAAAGGCACTGAGGATTTCAATTCCATGCCTCTGCTTCTCTCACTTAGTGTAGCATCTTCAGATGTTACTCTTGTAACTGCTACTCTGCCTGAGACAAATGTATTCTACCCCTTAACAGACAGATATAGAGAACTTTAACTAGGTTGTTTTTCCTCTTTTTTTGTATAAGAGTCAAAATAAAGGGGACATTTTTGTAGTGCCTGATATTTCTCAAGTACAGTGTAAGTACTTTTCATGCACTAAGTTTTCACCAAAACATTATGAGGTAGATGATATTGGTTATCTCATTTATAGATCAGGAAGCTCAGAGAGATTAAGTAACCATCTAAAGCTGCACAGCCAAGAAACAGGAGAACTAAGATTTGAACCCAGTTCTGTCTAGATCTATTAATCAATTAATGCAATTAATATCATGCTATTAATATCATGGTATTTGTATGGCACACAAAAGGCATTTAACAATTACGATGCATTCCTTTCCACCCTTTTGCTACAAGCAGCCCTTCCATTATTTTTTCCATCAGCAATTGTCTATCTATTTTAAAAGAGTTTATCTACAACATAACTATATTTATAAAATAGTTATTAATTTATTTTCCAGTGTCTTTTTACCTAAAGCTATCCATATTTTAAGAACAGTAAAAACCTAATCATAGGTATTTTATTAGGATTTGGAAAATGCCACACATTATTTTATTAGCTCTTCAATAACCCAGGGAAGTTGATCTTATTGTCCCCATTTTATAAAAGAGAAAACAGAGTCTTTAAAGAGTTGAGATCCCCAAGATCACACAACTAGTAAGGTGCAGAGCTGGGATTTCCACTCTCTCTCATTCTAACAACTCCTCCTTTGAGTTGGCTCCTTATTTCTGAGCTTTGCAGTTGCTGCCAAAAAGCACAAAGAATTAAAAAAATTTAATCTCTGCAACTATATCATGGATAGTTGTATTATTATTATTATTTTTTTTTTTTTTTTTTTTGCGGTACGCGGGCCTCTCATGTTGCGGCCTCTCCCATTGTGGAGCACAGGCTCCGGACGTGCAGGCTCGGTGGCCATGGCTCATGGGCCCAGCCGCTCCGCGGCATGTGGGATCTTCCCGGACCGGGGGACGAACCCGTGTCCCCTGCATCGGCAGGCAGACTCTCGAGCACTGTGCCACCAGGGAAGCCCGATAGTTGTATTATTTTCAAGGACTTCATTGATAACCAGTGAGTTTGCACTAAGATTATCTATAGGAGAGATATTAGCAGCATCATTGCCAAACTTTGCATTCGGATTTAATACAATTTTTGTGTAAATAATAGAGGTTTAATAATAACAACAGCATAATAATGTAACAGTAATGACAACAGCTGCTATCTATGGAGACCTACCATGTGCCCAGTTCTGTGCTATGCACTCCATTCCATTTTCTCCTTCAAATCCTCCACCCACAATATTTAATCTCTCTTTTACAGGAAGCTCAGCATCTGAGAAGTCAAGTAAGATGTACAAGGTGGTGCTAATGTGGACCTTGGGATCTGGGTCCAGGTCTATCTGGCCCTAAAGCCTGAGCACTTAATCAGTGCAATAGACCAGAAAACATAATCCACTTTGAAATAAGCATACAGGACTTCCTTGAGAACAAATACCTTATGCCTTGAGACAAATGAGGACCATCTTATGCAGTTGTCTGATCCTGTTTCTAAATCATCATGCCCTTGGTAGCACAGGAGTAGGGGTGAAGGTGGGGATGGTTGGCATTTCCGAGATCCAGAATTGTAGCCATGGCCATTTTGAATGATCCTTTCTGAATCTTGGTTCTGAGAAGCAGTGGTAAGAGCTGATGCTCACCTTTTCCACTGGACGTGAAGCTTCTTGAGTACAAGATCCTTGAAGATATTCCATCGACCTTGGGTGCAGTGTATGGCACATAATAGGGGCTCAATAAATGTCTAGAGTTGCTGTGGAGTTACGGGAGCAAAAATAAGAGATGCCATTCTTTGCCTGGAATGTGTAGAGGGAGAGAATGCAAACATGCTAGACTTAAAAAGTCTTTTTCTGTAGATTATGTTTTCTGGTCTATTGCACTGATTAAGTGCTCAGGTTTTAGGACCAGATAGACCTGGACCCAGATCCTAAGGTCCACATTAGCACTACCTTGTACATCTTACTTAACTTCTCAGATGCTGAGCTTCCTGTAAAAGTGAGATTAAATATTGTGGGTGGAGGATTTGAAGGAGAAAATGGAATGGAGTGCATAGCACAGAAGAAGGAAGAGAGGAATTATGAATGAAGCAGGGATGATATGAAGACAGCACGTGGGCTCCTCCCTCTTCTGACAGTGATGAGCTCTGTGGTTTTAGGTGAGTCTGTTTTCTCTCTCTGAGCCCACATTTCCACAGAGGGTAATATTACCTGCTTACCTTTACAAGAGGACTGTGATGAACCCTGTAAGACACAGCATATGGGAAATATATGGAAAATAATAAAAATATAATGGCAATGGTATCAACCACAACAATGATAAGGAAAGCTTTCTTGTGTTGATTGCCACCCTGGCATTCTTCATACTTTGTCCTCACAAGAACCCTGTGGTCCATTATCTCTAGTTTACAGATGAGGAGACTTTGAGATATTATCATTATTAATTATATAATTATCAAACACATGCAAAAATCCTGACATTCACTCAGTTTTCTGGGAGATGGTAGAGTAAGAGAGTTGGGGATTCAGAGACAGCACTTTGTTGGCCAAAAAGCCAACCTTCCAGTTAAGTCTAATTCAGATTGTGCTGGGTACTTCTGTGCAAAATTAGATTCACAAGGGATTTTTTCTTTTATCTAAAATCACTTCACTGAGTGTGTGATTGACATACAAAAAGCTACACATGTTTACAACTTGATGAAGTAAAACCATACCACAATCTATGCCATAAACCTACGCATCTCCTCCACACATTTCCTCTACCTTCTTTATTTATTATTTTAAAGGATTCTTGTAAAGTGGAATTATTCTTCTCATCAAACATTCTGTACTACTCTATGATCCAAAGAAATGCCCAGATTCTTCTAGAATGGGCCCACTAGTGATGCCTGGATTGAATTAAAGCAGCTGATTCTCAAGCCAAGTGGCCAGAAGTTGGGCAACTCTACTGGCTCATCCTCTGTGCTGTATGGAAGAAACCAAGATAATGACACTTTCCCAAGGCTGGGGCTGGGTGAGTCTTAATTTGTGAGTGTTTGTAAATGGCTTTGAAGATAGCGGAGGTTATTTAAGTGCTGAGTATTATTATTATTTATTGTGGTTTTAAGCACTGTTTCTCCTTCCCATTGTCAGGCTACAAAACAATAAGGGACCTGGTAAAAGAGCCTCTGGAAGTATCCAAATGTCAATAAATTAGGTAATTTTGGCCTGAGTTCTGTGATGGTATCTGCAAACCTAGCATTAGCTTTGCAGCCTTTTTGCGTCGGTTGTTGGTTGCCTAATTTGCCCTTAAACTTGCCAGCAGCAGGTCCTGACATACGTTTGGCACACACAGGTGATACAAGCACTCTTTGGACAGACCTGTGTTGTTGACATCATGCTTTACTGTGTGCTTTTTGAGATGCAAATTAGGTTCTGGAGGAGCCCCTGATCCTTTCATCGTTGATGATTAATGGAAGAGAATTAACATTTGTTGAGCCTTCCTGTGTGCCAGACACTTTTACAAACATGATCTCATTTATTCTCACAACAATCTAGTGAAGTAGGTCTGAATGGTTCCATTTTACAGAGAGGAAACAGAGGCTCACAGGAAGTTAAATAATTGGCCCTTGATCACATAACTAGGAAAGAGGCTTAACTAGAATTGAAATTCAGGACTGTCTGGTTCCAAAGGCCATGCTCTTTTATTATATTAAACTACAGGCAACATATTCTACTTTACTCTTCACCCCAACTGCCCAGTCAAGTTTCCCCAACCCCCTGCTAAAAATCTCTTCAGTGCCTTTCCATAGCTTTCAATGGAATAAAGACCATGCTTCTACAATAGCCCTGCACAATCTCTCTCTGGCTCCCTCTCCAGCTTCATTCAACCCCATGTTTGTTTATTTCAGCTACTTGAACATGATAACACTTCCTACTTCTGCGTTTTTGCACAAACTGCATGCAAAATCTTATCTTTCCCTTTTTCTTCAGCTAATGCTTGCTAGGCCTTTACACGTCATTTTCTGGGGATGACTTCTTTGAAAATGCAGACCAATAGTTCTCCAAGTGTGGTTCCTGGTCCAACAGAGAGTAGCATCACCTGGGAGCTTATGAGAAATGCAATTCTCAGGCCTCACCCCATACCTCCTGAATCAGAAACTGGGCAAGTTTGAAAATTAACAGGGTTTTTTCAACCTAGACACTATTGACATTGTGGAGTGTTTAGCAGCATGCTAGCTCTTACCTACTGAAGGTCACTAATACTCTCGTTCCTGTCCTCACCTTCCTCCAAGTTGTGACAACCAAAAATGTCTTCAGACATTGCCTAATGTCCCCTTGGAGGGTAAAACTGTCCCTGGTTGAAAAAAATCACTGCTTTAGGCTGAGGTATGTCTCCCTGTGAGACACTCCTATAGCATTCTGGACAGTTGAGGTTAATTAGTTAGTAACTTATTGGAATAATTTGTTTAAAGCATGTCTCCACTGTCATAATCCAGCAGCTAATGCGCTACCGAACACCCAAGTTGGTTCTCAGGAAATACCATTGTACCAAGTGACACGGTCAACTTGCACCATTACCTCCTCAAGCCCAACCCTATATCTGAATTCTGGGGAGGAGACAGGACTTAAGGCTAAAGTGGGATCACAGGCAAGTGGGATCCTTGAGCTTCTTCACAATTTAAAGGTAAGTCTCCTCCATCAGAACCCTGGGAGCAAAGGGACTCTTTCATGCCCAGCTCAACAGGATCTAAGCACTGCTTTTTAAAAAGTTTAGTGGCAGAGAATATGATTAAATGCAGGAGAAAGAGAAAAGAGTCATTTTAGGATGATGCAGAAGGCCCTGACCAAGATAGGCTCAGTGTCGCTGTCACCGAAAGAGAAACAAAACCTCATTCTTCCCGCAAGAGCAATAAGGAGATTGCTGGCTACGAGACCTGACTCAGCTTGCCTTCTAGTAGCTTGTCTTTTTATCGGTGGTACAGTCACCTGAAAGAGGAGCGGGAGAGGCAGATTCTGGTCCTTTTGCCGCCTTATACTTCCTCAGCCTGAGAAGTCATTTCTAGATCCAGGGTAAAGGAGAGCTGCAGAGTTGAGGAAGAATGGAATTCTTGCTTGTGTTCCTTTCTAAATGGATGCTCAGTGTCATCATCCTGGCTCCATATGAAGTGGTTGTGGACCTGAGACACTTGATTGGCTACATGGACATCCTGTCCCTCCTAGGGCTCACAGTGCTTCTGGGAATGAGGCCCGCCCAGTTTCATAGGAGGTATTGCAGTCGCCTGGCTAATATCAGGCTTCATGTAACCTACATGATTGTTACAATTTGAGAGTTGCAGTCAAGGTATGGGAAGGTATAGACCTAAGAGGTAATTTTTTTTTAAGCTATACATATAATATATCTTTTCTTTTTTCTCAAAGAAAATGTTCATTTTTTTTGAAGAAATTTTGAAAAGATGAAGGAAAGTGGAAAAAAAATAGGATTTTTTTCTATTTCAAAATGTTCATTCCTATTTCATTTTTTTGTTACCAGACTCTACCAACAATTTTCCTTTCCTGCTTTTTCACTTAACATTATCTTTTAAGCCTGTCTCCAAGTTTTTGTAAAATGACGTCATTTTCAAAGTGATCCTGGCATTCAATTTCCATTCATTCCCAAATGTAATGCCATTAAAATGCCCCAAACTTAGAAACAGGAATACAATATTCTAGCCGCTCAGAAAGCACAAACTAAAGTATTCATTTAAAGCTAAAGACTGAGGTCTCAATTTCTTTGACACTAAGAGCTCTAAATATTCAGTAATTACAAGTTTACTGATTCATGACGGGTAATAAGTTGCATAGGACCAAAACTACAGCATAATTTCAAATATCTTCATTATAGTCTATATGCCAAATTGATTGAAACTATCCCATTGCTGGCATTTGCTGTCATAAATAGCTTTGCAACAAACATCTTTTTTTTTTTTTTTTTTTTTTTTTTTCTGGGGCCTCTCACTTCTTTTGCCTCTCCCTTTGCAGAGCACAGGCTCTGGACGCGCAGGCTCAGCGGCCATGGCTCACGGGCCCAGCCGCTCCGCGGCATGTGGTATCTTCCCGGACCGGGGCACGAACCCGTGTCCCCTGCATTGGCAGGCGGACTCTCAACCACTGCGCCACCAGGGAAGCCCAACAAACATCTTATATATGACTTCTTCCCCCGAAATTAAGAGCATTTCCTTTGAAATGAGGTTAGAAATTCAATCATTGGTTTGAAAAATATGAATGCATCTAACCTTGGCAAAATTTCCAAAAAAACTACCTTCCAAATTGTATTTCCATTAGTGATGTTTGAGTGCATTTATTTCATTTACTCTAATCAATATCAGTTGATACTGATAGGGAGACTGAGCCTCAGTATTTGCATTTCTTGGATGATGGCTCAGATTGAAGGGGACAAGTTAGTATGACTATTTGGTTTTTCACAGACATGCGTGACACTGGAGCACAACCCGTTCGTCTTTCAATCTGCACCCCTCCAACATCAAGAACATCAGTTTAGCTTCGATTAGAGTTAAGGTGTTTTTCTGCCAGAGACTTTTTTCAAGCTTATAGTCATGAAATCTGTTTTAGAAACTGGTTAAATGAGTGCTTTCCTTCCCATCCCACTCTTGAAATAAATTCAGATTCCCAAAAGAACTGGACCTCTTCTTGCAGGAGTGAAAGATAATTTGTTGGCATGTATATTTTCTTATAGAACCAAATTACTGAGGGGAGTTGTAACCTGGTTTCAAATACTTTTGGGTTTCTTCACTCAGAGCTACTTTTTGTCATTGCAATTAGAGCAGGGGAGACTGATTTTCAAAGCCAAGTGTAGTTGTCCAGTGAACAAATTATGGAGAAAACACCGACACAGAGGGGAACTACTTCTTTCCCTTCCTTTCCTTTTTTCTCTCCCTCCCTTCCTCCCTCCTCACTTCCTTTCTCTCTCTCTCCCTTTTCCTTCCTTCCTTCCTTCCTTCCTTCCTTTCTTTCTTCCTTCCTTCCTTTCCCTCAGCTTCTATTTAATCTCAGGTGGACTATATGTAAATAGGAATTCATTAGTATAATGAATACTACAATATCGCTATTAATAACCATGGCTTATTAACTGGTTAGGGTAACCCCCCAATTAACTAGCTTGAATGAAGAATGTACCTTTTGGTAAATTAAAATTTCAAAGTAATTAGGGATATTTCAATGATTTTTTTCTCCTTCAACTCTTGATGCTGAAACTTTTTTTCTTCCTTAAAATACATCTTTGTATTAATTTCTTAGGAGTTTTCCCATCATGGTGATGAAATTTTCTTAGAGAAAAAAAAACCTTATAAGATCTTTATTCTACACAGGGATCTTGTGTAGGACTGAAAATGTAGTTATTAGAGACTAGGTCTCACTTCTGTAGCCTCCAGGGTATACTCTGGAAACTGCAATTTTGTTGTTATTGTGCTGATGTTAACTTATTTTCCTATTGTCATGGAGACTGTCTAGCAATAAGACTCACCTGTTTCCTCTTCTTCCTGGACACACAGCCTACATTTCCCAACTTCCCTTGTATAAGGTGTGGTCATGTGACTGAACTCTAACCAACAGAGTGTGATCAGAAGTGATATGTCTCACTTCCTGGCCCAGCACATAAGGATTTCTCATGGTCCCTTCCATGCTCTTCCCTGTTGACCAGCCTGGTGCAGACACAGATGAGCCATTAACCTGGGGAGCCCCATGTTGAAGATGATGGAGCCTTGAGATGGAGGAACCCGTTTCCTGGAATCAGGAAGAGGACCACGGCTGATCGATGCCACCCATTTTGGCTTTTACATTTGTGAAGATTTCTACTGTTTGGGACAATACACATTCTTGAAATCTGTTTATAATAGCAGATAATAATACTTTAATTAATGTTATCACTTATTAATAAAAGGAAGATCAAAACCTAAATTTCAATTAACTCATGTTTATGATGAGTTGATTTCCAGGGGATTAAAATTTTCTTACAATCACTGCCTAGAGTTGTCTCTCAGATTGTAGAGTCAGTCAGTGCCCATGCAGGGGGAGAGATGGAGGTTCAGTAAGGTGGGATCAAGGGCTTCCAAAGTTCTTATGGCCTTTCCCAAGCCATTCCCCAGCCAGAGAACTAATGCCTGGAATGGAAAGGAATGAATATCACCTCTGTTTTTGACCTTTATCTCTGTCAAAATGTAAACCCTCCATATCACGTTAAGCTCTTATTTATTATTTAAACTGTTGTGTACAAGAAGGGTCTAAAGAACAGACAAAACTAATACTGGCCTCTAGATAACATCCATGAAGTGCATTGAGATCCTGGATAAAATTCAGTGTCTTGTTCCTGAATTAAAAATAAAAAAGTATTCTGAAAAAAGGACTGCCTTTAAGTAGAGAATTGTAAGGTAGGAGGCACAATTCTTCTCCTTCCCATTGACTGCACACTGTGTTCTCTGGGTGCATCAGCAGTGCACGTATAAATCATCCCTTTGGCATTTGGGAGCACAATTTTGGAGATCTGAGTCAATAATGTAGTCAGCTACCAGTTTCTGTCTTTTAGTGTAGGGGTTTGGTTGGGGTGGGTAGAAGGCAAGGATCCAGGGATTTAGGAAAGAGAAATAGACCTTGCCTTATTTCTTTGAACACAAGAACTCAGCAGAGCAATGAATAACATCCTAAATGCACAATGGAGATTCTTCTGCAACAGATCGTTGCTAAATAGCTCTCTGGGTTTTTTTGTTGTTTTTTTTGTTTGTTTGTTTTGTTCTGTTGTGTCTGGGCTGATGAGGTGCTCTCTGCCCTGGGTGAGTTACTTCTTTCATCTTTGTGGATTGATTCTCTTGTAGCTCCTAAAACATTCATGCCTTTCATAAATATTTTTTGACTGAAGGTTGTATATATTTAACTGGGGCTCATAAATATGCCTTAAAGTTTCTTTTTCTTCAGTGTTCTGATTCTTCTTGATAGTTTTGATTTCCCATCACCCTTCTGAGCGCCTAAGTTAAGGTAAGTTTGCATATATACTCATATATTTCATAGATGTACTTCTTTATCAGAAGGAACCCTGAGCTGGAGTTAGGAGGCCTTGATTCAAACCATTGCCACTAACTACACTTGTGATGGGTCAGGGTAATTCCCCATCTACATGATGAGAGTTGCAGAGGTGTGGGAGACTGTGTTCTCCATGAAATGCCTGCATAGTGCCCAAGAAATGGGGGTCCATTTTCCATAGCATGTGTTCCAGGTACAATATGCTATGATCAAGGGATGTAACCTGTCCCTTATTGCACTTCATGCCTGAATCTTTTTCCTCCATTCTCTTCTCCATTTTTTCCTCCTTCCTCTTTCTCTTGTTATCTTGGAGAGATCACTCAGTGGTGGAGCCAGGATAATCGATATGCCGGGGCAGCTGAACTGTCAGCTCATCAGGAATTGCCCAGATTGTGGACCATTCATTACATCACTGGACATCTACTGAGTATCTAAAATTTGCCAGGTACTACGCTCAATAGGTGTTTTTTAAACCTAATTTTTACCGTGCTATTTTCCTTATCATACAAAAATACAAAAAACACAGGTATATTGAGTCTTTTCTGAAAATACCAAAAAAGAGATAGTAAGAAGAAATCATTTATAGTCCCACTTTGTAGAGTTTACCACTATGAATCGTTGAATGTATGTTTTTTCTACGGTTTTTGCTATGTAAGAATACAGTTTTAAAAAGGGAGTTAATATGAAATTACATTGTACATCTTGATTTTTCACATTAATTTTTCACATTAATAATCCATTGACTTCATTTCACTTCCTCTTTACTTCTGGCTGTTGGATTGGAAGAGGTGATCTTTCCTGTGTGTGATGTAAATTCACTGCAGGATGTGCACAGCAGAAAAACACTACCACTACAAGAGTCCACTCCAATGGACTATAAACTCCAATTTGGCAAAAAGGAGATGAAGGCATAGATGATGTCCCAAAAGGCCCTTTTACTATAAATGATTTCCTGGAAACACCATGGTCAAGTCAAAATCTTTTTGTGAGTGAGAAGAAAATTACAAGACTGAGCAGATTCAAGAGTGAAACTCATCTGTGTCAATGTGTGTTGGCCCAAGTAGGACACACATGCAAACGTACTGCCCTTTTACTAACAGAGCATTGTTTCAGATGCAAAATAAACAGCTGAAGGATTTCTCAAATGTTCTTCCTCAATAAGATAGGAACTAGCCTGCTCATACAAAATACTCTAGTCCAGTCCTCATCTAGCACACATTATTATTATTATTTACAATTAATGTGCCATGTACTGTGAATTATTTATTATTATTATTTTTTTTTTTGTGGCACGCGGGCCTCTCACTGTTGTGGCCTCTCCCGTTGCGGAGCACAGGCTCCGGACGCGCAGGCTCAGCGGCCATGGCTCACGGGCCCAGCCGCTCCGCGGCACGTGGGATCTTCCCGGACCGGGGCACGAACCCGCGTCCCCTGCATCGGCAGGCGGACTCTCAACCGCTGCGCCACCAGGGAAGCCCACTGTGAATTATTTAACCATGATTTTACTTAATAAGTTCTATACAGCAGAAAGTCAAGTTCATAAAGATTAAAGGATTTACCCCAAATCAAATAGCTAGTAAATAACCGGTCCAGGAGGCAAACTGAAGCTGCCTGACTTCAAACCTGGAGTTCTAACAGTATCACATGCTGCTGCCTCTCCCGTGTGAAAAGGACACAAACGATATTGAATGAATAAATGAATCAACGTATAGTACGGATCTTAATAAATGTTAATTGACTGGGAACCACCATTCTCTCACCAAATTTGATTCTCCACGCCAAATGAGATAGCAGATTACATGTAATGAACTTACTGGACAAACTACATTTCCTAGTGTTTGAGACCAGCTGAGGTCTCTTGGGGACAGCCATGAGAGTGAGGGGTAAACCGCTGGAGGCAATGCACTCTCAGCATTGCCTCTGAGTTATCATCACGGCATCAAGCCAGGGAGCCCTCCTTCCCAATCACTGCTGTCTAGCACTCAGCTGAAACCAAGACGCCAGGATTTGGTACAGCACTGCTGCTTGGGGCGTCTTGACTCTGTATCTCTGGACCCACTTACTTAACTTAAAAATGACAAGATTGGTTCAAAGATGGCAGAATAGGGGTTTTCTGAGGTTCTTTGCCTTTTCCTGACTCCCAGTATAAACAACAAAGAAACAGAGATTCTCATACTAAGTGAAGTTAAGTCAAGCAGAGAAAGACAATTATCATATGATGTCACTCATATGTGGAATCTAATTTAAAAAATGATACAAATGAACTTATTCACAAAACAGAAAGACTTACAGATATTGAAAACAAACTTATAGTTACCACAGGGGAAACATTTTGGGGAGGGATAAATCAGGAGTTTGGGATTAATGTATACACACTATTATATATAAGATAGATAACCAAAAAAGACCTACTGTATAGCACAGGGAACTCAATATTCTGTGATAACCTGTATGAGAAAAGAATCTGAAAAAGAATGAATATATATATATGTATAACTGAATCACTTTGCTGTACACCTGAAACTAACAAACATTGTAAATCAACTATACTCCAATAAAATTAAAAAAAAAAAAGAATATGAGTAAAGGCTTCAATGAAACTAACAGAGTGCTGGAGGTCAACCTTACAATGGCCAAACATGGTGATGTCTGGGCTAAGGAAAGGAAGGAACATTATATCTTGACCTTGAACAGAATGACAATTACACAAAAAGCAACTGCCAATATTCCAAAAGGCCCATTCCATGAGCTTTTGAATGAGTCACAGAAGTAGGGTCATGGAAAGATCTAAGGAGAGGTGACACATGTCTCTCTGGAGATCAGTTTAACTTCTCAGAATAGTATGAAAGAGAAACCAAGCCAACAAGCCATTTCTATCGTCCACAATCCTCCTGGCCAACTAAGATGATGCATTTCTGTTTTTTCAATACCTACCATAATGTCTTGCTCATAGTAGCTTTAATAATCTAAAGGAATAAAAGGCTTAAGTGTGATGGATAGTGTGGAAGAACCCACAAGAATACCTTAAACTGTGTGCTGGGTTTGAACCTCTGGCTTTAACTTACCACGTAACGCTGTGAGGTTCTTCTGAGTCCCTGTCTAGGAAGCACCGTCAGGGATATGAAATGTGAAGAGCATGAGGTCATTCCTTAGTTCTAACATCCAGAGCCTGTGTTTTTTTCACAGGGTGTCTGAGGTTGCTGATCTCCTGTCTAACCCCCAGTTGTATCTGTAGGCTTTGTAGAGAATGAACGTAGATACTGAATCCACCTCCTAGTCAACAGGAGAATGAGGGCTGGTGATGCCATCCCCTCTCTGACACCCCACTATGTAACTGTCTTAAAGACCCCGAGGCCCTGGAGGAGGAAGACCTGGTGCAACCCAGGCCTCCCCAGGGCTGAGTCTCATTGAGCCCCTGAGATGACTGTCTCTGAGCCCAGGGATGCCTGGATCAAGTTGTCATTAGCTCTAGTGAGATGTTCTAGAAAACTTATGGGAGACAAGATGTCTTTAGGTATTGGCCACTGTGATGATTTCTAGAAAATTGGACACCAGGACCATGGGGGCTTGCTTCTCCTCAATTGATTCTTTTTGTCCATGAGCTGGTGGGAGGATACTCTGCTTCAGCTTCATCTCTGGGCATCCTCCAGTCTGTATCCTGACCCCTCATATTCTCTCTTCTGATGGTGGCTTAAGGGACCATTCTTTCCAGGGATCAAAACTTTACAGTAACAATAGCTAACTTTCCTTGACTATTTCCCAGGAGCTCTGAGAAGGGCTTTACATGCATTATAACATTTAACTCTACAAGGAAGATAATTTTTTATTCTTGGGACAAGTGAGACACAGAGAGCCTAAATAACTTGCCCAAGGTCACAAAGCTAGTGAGTCCTAGAGCTAAGAAATAAACCCAGATCAATCTGGTTTTACAACCTTAACCTGTACTCTCTTTATCGTGAATAACTCTGATGGTGAATCTTCAGGAATTTACATAAGGATTTGGGGGTTCAGCTGTGCCTTCCCAGCACCACTGAAGTCAGGGGACATGGCCTTGAACTCTATGTTCTCTTCATAATAAATTAATAAATATGTGATTATAAAATAATAAATATGTGATTTGGAGATTTCTTTCTTCCTTCCTTTCTTTCTTGCTTTGTTTCTTTTCTTTCTTCTTTGTTTCTTTCTTTCTTTCTTTCTTTCCCCTTCCTTCCTTCCCTCCCTTTTCTTTCTTTTGAGTTTCTTTATCTCTAAATCACAGCCAGGGGCATGGTAGGGTCCTCCCATGTGGTTGTTGCGGGAATTAAATGAAAGGATAAATGTGAATAGGGTCCTCCAGAGGGTCAAAATTCAGAGGGGGAGACAAAACCCCACATAGCTGGTTCTTTAAAACAACAGGCTAATAGCAACACAAAAGGACACATGTTTCCTGGAACTGACAAGTTTCTCTTTACTGTATTAATGGAGACAGTGACCCTGATCATGTCAGTGGTTTTTAGG